CGTAACGGGATTATTTTCACCATTTTTGACGGGACAGGATCCCGCGGGATTAATCCCGTAAATCCCGTTTTTCGTTGAAAACTGGGTCTTCAGGACGGGAACCCGAAAAAATTCCGTACGGGGTCCCTTCCATTGCCGACCTCTAGTTTTCCTTGGTTTTTTCAATTGTTTTTTCTTTCTAATTGTTCCATCTTCTCTCCTTTTTCAGTTAAATGCCAAAATCACCAAAAACATCCTCGGCAAAGTCTTCAAGGTCTTCCAAATCCCTCAAATCCCCCAAAACTTCAAAAACCTCAAAAAAGAAGGAAGAAAATAATGACGTGATTTTTATCGATCCTCAAAAAGAAAATGAACAGAAAAACGAGCAGAAGAAACCAAAACAGCCAAACTTGACGAGCTTCTTCAAACCTCTCGAAAAACCGGCTCCGCCGCCAACTCTGCCCCAATGCATGCCTGACACTTCACGGTTTACGTCTCTTTTTCAGCTGAAACAAGGAATGACTATTGCGCCGATTCTGGCTAGGAAGGTTTGTGAGAATGTTTTAAAAAATTTTTGGAACTTTGGGAAATAAATTTAGGGGTTTTTTTTCATTTAGGGGTTTTTGGTTAAGTTGGATAGTTTCTAAATTTGTCCCTTCAACAGGTCGTTGGTTCGAGTCCCTCCTGGGCAATCTTTTTAATTTTTTTTGAGTTTGTTAAGATCTGCATGACCTAAAGGTACGGGATCTGAAATAGGAATGAATTTTGACTCTGTCTGGTTAAGTTGGATAGTTTCAAATTCGGTCCCCTCATAGGTCATGGGTTCGAACCCTCTTGCGGACCTCTTGCCTGGGTTCGAGTATCATTGAGAGATTATTTAAATTTTTTGCTGAATTGTTAACTTTCAATTCGTATAATCTCAAATAACCAATTTACGTGTGATTTGGTTAAATTTGATAGTTTTTTAATTTCGTCTTATAGGTCATGGGTTCGAATCCTCTTGGGGAAATTAATTTTTTATTTTGATTTTTTCAGTATAATTACTTAATATCAGTCTAAGAGAAGCAAATTTACCATGTTTAAAATTTTTTCTACACTTTTTAAGACTTATTTTCTTTTTTCAGCCTTTATCAACTGAAGAACGAGAAAATTTGCTCAAAGTTTATTGCGAGGTTTCTTCTAATTTTTTCAAAATTTCTAAAAATTTATTTTTTTAGTTTCCCGATTATTTGTCTCAATGTAAAAATAAACGTGTTAAAACTCCAGCACGAGTCACCAACAAATTGAAGGCAAAATATTACCATTTTCATGATAATTATCGTCCTGCTTACTATGGCACTTGGCGTCGCAGAAGTAAAGCAATTACTGGACGAAGGCCTTTTTCTAAAGGTGAAAAGGTTTGGGAATTTTTTGAAACGTTTTTACATTTGTGGTACTTTCGGCTTTTTGTCCGCCAAAAATTTTTGAAAAAATTAAAGTCTCATTTTGCTAATTTTTGCGTCATTTGACTCGACTAGAAAAGCTTGAGAATCTAATAAGGCAACTTTTTGTATATTTTTGGTGAACCGTCAAGTACCAAAATTTTTGGATTTTTAATTCATTTTCTTTTTTGGACATTCCATCCCCTCCCGAAAATTTTCCAAGTAACTTAGTGCTCGTTTCAGCATTTTCTTTGTCGTTGGGCGATCTGGATTTGACTCAAATCAATTATGATTTATCGCATTTTTGTAAAAATTTTATAAAATTATCTGAATTTTCCTTTTGTATTTTATTTTGTGCTTTATTCAAATTTTATATTTGTTATTTTTTTGCGTATCGCATCGTGGTGCCAAACGCCGAAATACCAAATTATCAGAAGCACCTAAATGGCAAGCCAAGGGCGTAGCAGGGAGTCGATTTCAGGGGGGCTAAAATTGGGTGTGCGCCAAAATTTTGGCGTTTACTATCTCTTCTCCATTTTTGGGGGGGGGGGGGGGGTAGTCTCAGAAGCTCTCCCCCTGGCTTCTTTTTTGTGGAAAACTGGGCAAGGTGTTCCAAGAATGAAAGAGATTATTCCTAGAATAGGGGAAGGTTTCTAGCAATTGGACTGTTTGTTCCAACAGCTAGAATGTCTCGGTGGTATTACGGCATAATTTAAAAAAATTTGTTTTTAGACCCTCAATTATGAATACGATTCTGATGATGATTGGGAAGAAGAACCAGCAGATGCAGATGAATGCAAATCTGATGAAGAGGAAGAGGTTTAAATTTTAAAATAATTTTTTGTTTATTTTGGTTTTTAGAAAGACGTCCCAATGGACTCTGACGAGGAGGATGATGGTTTCTTTGTGGATCATGGATATTTGTCGTCAGATGAAGGCTCTCAGGGAGGGGATGATTTGGATGAAAATTGTGATGTTGAAGGTTAACATTTTTAGATTATGGGGTTAAATGAGTTTGGACTTGTTTTGGTACAAAAACCAATTTAAGAAATTTTTCTAAAACTGATCGATCTGATGCGAATTTTTAGAAACAATCGACCCAAAATATGCCTGAATTTTTTACAAACTGGAATATCCTTGGTTTGTGGCCTGTGTGTATTCTTGATTTGTAGTCCAAAAAATCCCCGGACCGTGGGTACTTTCTAGGATATAAAAAAGTTTGCTAGACTGAATTTATGTCCAAAACTATCGGTACTTGGAAAACCCGTTAGGAAATGAAAAATGTGTCTTGATAATTCAGGGCATGACCCAGATTAGAATGTCGATTTCACCATCTTTCGGATTAAATGAACATATGAATATAAATTTTTATCTTTTCGATTTGAAACCGACTATCCTTGTCCAGACTTTTTTCAATTTCTTATTTTAGGCGAACCTAAAAGACCAATGAAAATATCAGATGATGAAAAAAATGAAGCAAATCAAACTGAAAAGCGAAAGTCTTCTGGAAATGAAAAAGAACATGAGCAACGCCGTCAACGTTTGGAACAGAAAGCGGAGGAATACAAAGCTGAAATTAAAAGGAAGGAGCGTCTTTTTAAGATTTGTTTTTTTATTCTATTTGGGTTCATCCTGTGGGTCCACTCCTGAAGTTTTAGATTACCCAGGATATCAAGGCTTTGAAAGTCAAAGGCCCCTTCTATAGTAATGGGCCTTTGATATCAAGGCCCCTCCCCAAAAAGATAAAGTCAACTTCAAATATTTGGCCGAATAAAAGGGTCTCATGGCCAATAATACGTTGGTCGCTCTCCTTTTGCCTTATCTGACAGTTGGACGAGAGAATTTACGTCTTTGCCTTCTAATCACCCCCTAATCCCACCTAATCATCTTAATCCGTCCAAATTCCTCTTTATCCACATAAATATTTGGCTGGATGAATCCTTGGTAATCATGAACAATTGGGGAGACACCTTAAAAATTATTATTATTTCTTCTAGAAATAATTTTATGTAGGTAATCGACCACGCTCATCACGAATCTGAGCTTAAAATTTACTTATTTCGAACCCCGGACCCGAATTCGACCAAGTCGAATTCGGGGTAAAAAGTTCGAAATTAAGATTCGGACTCAGCATGGTCGATTACCTAAGTAAAATTATTTTCAGAAAAAAATATTAATTTAAAATGTGTTTTTAAGGTGTCTCCCCAATTGTTCATGATTACCGAATCCTTTGCGTGGATTAGGATGGATTTGTTGGGATTAAGGAACATAAAGCGGAAATTCTCTCGTCAGCTTCATAGGGCAAGAGGGAGGATGTCAACTTACTTGATCTAGGGTTTCTACTTGATCTTGAGAATATTTAGAGTTGGCTTTGTGAGTCGACTTTTAAGGTTTATTCAATATTGAGTTGTCCTTCTTGGGGAGACAAGGACGTAGCCAGGGGGTCGATTTCAGGGGTAGAAAGAAGCAGAAGCCCCCCCCTGGCTACGCCCTTGTGTGGAGGCCTTTTGGGGGTTATCCTCATCCCCCTTATTTTAAAATTCATTTAAATATTTTTTCTAATTTTAAAAGCGACAATTGATCCCAACCGTCTATTTGCCTGATGAGTCTGTTCATCCAGAATTTTCACGGTTTGTTTTGCCTGGAGTTCGCTTTGATTATTCCAAAATTGTTGCAAAAAGTGTGGAAAATGATGAGGAAAAAATTGAAAAGATGTCTGTAGAAACTGTTACTGTTGAGTGATTTCAAGTTTTATTTTTTTTAAATTTATTTTGGGGTTTCTTTAAATAATTTTTTGGGGGTTTTATAGGAAAAAAATTTTTGTCGTTGAGCTAACCAAGAGTGTATCCTCTCCCCTCCCCTGAAATTTCTTCCCCCAATTCCCTGTCTGAAATTTTGTTTTTAAAAAAACTCGATGAACTAGACAAGCTGGATCCAGCGGTTTCACATCTCCCTTACCTTATGAAATGGGTGAAAATAAAATAAATATATTGTTAGGTTGACAATTAGCAATTGAAAATGTGACTGGACTGCTAAAAGTTTTTTTTTTATTTTTTTCTGATTTCTTAACTGTGGAAAATTAATTCAAAACACCTAAAATTGTATACTCTCCCTCCCCCTGGGTTAAAAAATTTTTTTTGATGGATACACTCTTTGTTTTTTAAGTTGGGTGTCTTTAAGTTTGTTTTGAGTATCTCTTTAAACTTCACTTTTCAAAAAATCTCTCTCTCTTTTATTTAAAATACTTAAATATATTCTTTCAAAGTTTGGCCAAGTTTTTCATTATAATTTTTTGATTTTTGATTTATTTTAAATTAAATTATTTTTTCAAAAATTTTTTTTTAAAAATTTTGTGTTTATTATCACTTTATTTGTCAAAATATTTTTTATTTATATTTTTTTCCGGGTTCACCTCAAGGCACCGCCAGCAGCGCCTCGACAATAGTGATCGAGCTGGATCTGAACCAAAGGCCTGGGCTCCCCCGGATTCGATAATTTTGAACGAGGTTATAGTTCGATGGTTTGTTAGCCTCGCGGTACCCTGAGGTGAACCCATTTTTCAATTAAAAAATTTTTTTCTCATCAGTTTTAGCTTAAAAAATGGTGACGGATCGTTCTTACACTCCTTTTGAATATGGCTATTTAATTTTGAAGTACAGACATCCCGGAAGTGTTAAAAAATTTGGAACCGATTTTGCGGCTGGTGCTGCTGCTGCGTGCATTTCTAAGACAATTATGGCCCCTATTGAGAGGGTCAAATTAATTTTGCAGGTTTCTTTTATTTTTTATATGGATGAGGGATGATAAGGACAATGAATATAGAATGAAGATTTAAAATGGTCAGGGAAATAGTAAAACAGTTACAGATAGCAAGGGTGTAGCCAAAGGGGGGGCTTCTTGGGCTATAGCCTCCCCCCCTGAAATCGACCTCTGGCTACGCCCTCGACAAAGAGGGTCCCGGATCCGGATAGGCAAAGATTTCCATGAACCGCAATCCTATGTCCGAGGTTTAGCATTTGTCTCAAAATTTTTAGGGTCCGACTTTGGAGGCCTTTCTATTCTTTCGGTCCTCGTGACCATTTCTTTCTAATTTTTTTTTGATTTTTAAAGTTACAAACATCCCAACACACAATTCAAATAAGCAAGCGTTACAAAGGAATGATTGATTGCCTAATTCGCTTGCCCAAAGAACAAGGATTTTTATCATTTTGGCGTGGTAATGTATCAAATATGGCAAGAGCAGCAAGTCAGGTTTCTTAAGAATTTTTTTGTGAAAGGAAAGTCTAATTTTGTTATTTTGATAGGAATCGGTTGGTATTGCTTTTAAAGAAATGCTAAGAAAAATTTTGGTAAATGATGAACATCGAACAACTGATTATAAGAAGTTTCTGGGAGGTAACTTGTTAAATTCGAAATGGTGTTTTTGCGGATTTGGACTACTTTTTTGCGGATTTTTTTCGGACTACTTTTTGCGGATTTCCTCCCTATTTTTCTCTCACAAGGGGCCATCGTTTACTATAACTACGAATTTGATACATTTTTCAGTTCCATTCGATAAAGGACCCTCAACTTCCTATTGCGAAGTGATTTGCGTTTTCCGGCAAAATGACTTTGGGTCGAGGTATGGCTATCCAAAGTATCTGATTTTCCAAGGAGGAAATTGGGGATCCTCTATTAAATGGTACAAAAAATATATTGAATTTGCAGTCGTATTAAACTATGTTTTCTTGTCATTTACCCTTCTTACTCATTTTCAATATTGTCTAACAATATTGTCTAATAATGCGGAAAGTCCGCAAAAATTGATCCGCAAAAACAAGCTTCAAATGAAAATTTAAAAAATTCCCGCTTTTAAGCCAATATGCTCGCTGGAGGTTTAGCCGGAATGGGAACATTTTTCTTCATTTATCCACTCGATTTTTCTCGTACAAGGTTGGCCGTTGATATCGGGAAGGATAAAGCTTCAAGGGAATTTCGTGGTTTAGTTGATTGTTTTATTAAAATTGCAAAAAAGGATGGATTGGAAGGACTTTATAGGTTTCTTTTTAATTATTTAGGACCTCACTTCTAGGTACACTCTTGGAGTTAAGGCCCATCCATCTTCTATGACTTATAGGTCGAAAATTTACGGGTCGGTGTTGCGAAGGTTCGGAGTTGGGATTTGTCTAAGTGCGAGTTTTGGACTCGGGTTAGACAGAATCATTCAAGGGGTATGTGGCAAGGGCGTATCCAGGGGTCGGTTTCGAGGGGGGGGGGCTAACATTGGGTGTGCGCCAAAATTTTGGCGTTCCGAACGCAAATTTTTTAGTACATAAATTTTCATCACTTCAGCGCCGCAGGCGAAAATTTGTTTAAGTTTAGAAGGCCGTAGGCCAAAAAAATTCACTTTTTTTTACCCAGACCCTTCCCCAAATTTTTTCCTTTTCCCCATTTCGGGGGGGGGGGGCCTGGATACGCCCTTGGTATGTGGTCCAACCCCAATAACCCCAATAATTTTTGGCACTTTCCCCCTTGCCCCTCCCCCAAATAAAATCCTGGCTACGGGCTTGATCCCAATTTGTATAAATATTTTTCAATAAAATTTTTTTCTTCAGAGGCTTTCGGTCTTCAATGGTTTACATTTTCTTGTATCGTTCTTCATATTATGGAATATTTGATTCTTTAAAAGTTTTTGCATCAAAATCTGGTTCTAGTTCTGGTAAAGATGTGCATTTTTTTGCAGCTTTTGCTTTTGGACAGGTTTTTTTTGAAAAAAAATTTTGTAAATTTTTTTTTCAAATTTTTTAAGGTCTCCGCACTTGTTGCCGCCTTAGTTTCATATCCATTGGATACAGTTAGACGACGATTAATGATGCAGTCTGGAAGGGATAAACATGAATATACAGGGGCTACGGATTGTATTAAGGTTTTCCTAATTTAAATTTTAAATAAAAAATTTTTACCCGGGCGGGGTTCGAACCTTGGACCCCTTTTCCTGTGTAAACCTAACATTTTCCAACTAAACCATGTAATTTTATTTTTTTTTCCATTTTTGTTATGTAAGGGATTTTTTTAGTTGACTTTCACTTTTTGAGTAAATTAGGTTTTCTAAATAAAAAAATTCTCTTCCGTGAATGAGGTTCGAACCTTGGGCCTTTTGTTTATGTAAACCAAACATTTTCCCACTACACTAAAAAATTTATTTTTTCTATTTTTGTTATTTTGGGGATTTTTTGGGTGTCTTTTATCTTTGCTAATTAAAATAAAATTGTTTTCTCCGAGTGAGGTTCGAACCTTGGACCTTTTCCATATGTAAACCAAACATTTTCCCACTACACTAAAAAATTTTATTTTTTGTTTTTCCGCTTTTTTGGCTTTTTTGAAGGTTATTTCCATTTGGGAATTTAAAAAAATTTTAATTATAAAATTTTATTTTTGCAGCAAATTTATCAAAAAGAAGGTGGTCGTGCATTTTTTAGCGGGTTCTTTGTTAATGCTATTCGTAGTTTTGGCGCAGCTTTAGTTTTGGCTATTTATAATGAGCTGAATAAACATTTGTCTTGATATATATTTTGGTTGTTTTAATTTTAAGTCATTTTTCCTTTCTTTTCTAGTTGAAATTTGTTACTTTAGTTTTGAGAATTTTAGATTTTTTGTTTTAACCCTCCCAGAAAATTTTTTAACTTAGAGTTTGAACTAGAGTCGAGATCGTGTTTTCTGGGATAACATCCAATAGGCTGTTATGCATGAACCTGAATTTTTTCATAAAATTCGGTCTTTTAGGGCTTCCGGTTTATCCTGGATCTAAATTTAAAAGGGAACCCCCTCCCAAGATACCGGGCCAGCAAGTTGAAAGTTCAAGCTAGGGTAGCACCCCGAGCCTTGGGGGCGGGATCGTGTAGATAGGGATTTGACAGGGTAGAGTCTTCCGTGTTTGGGTCTTGATTTTTGACCAAAAATTTGTCGGGTGTCTGTTCGGGGGACGGGGTGCTATTTTAGTTTTTACCCTCCCAGAGAATTTTTTAATTAGAGTTCGAAACATGGTCGAGACCGGATTTTTTGGGATAACATCAGCGAGTCTTTCAGGGTCCCGGATGTCAATTTAAAAGTGAATCCACTCCCAGTATACCGGGCCAGCAATTTAAAAATTCAAACTCTATTTTAATTATCCCTTAAAAATTTTTTTTGTATTTATTAATTTATAAATATTTAAAATTACGAAAATATATTTTTCAAAAATATCCATTGCTTAACTTGGATATTTTATTTTAATTTTTATTTAATTTTTTTTTAAATTTATTTCTAGGTTATAAAATTAATTTTAGAGAATTTTTATTTCAAAGAATTTGTTATATTTTTTAAAAATGGATTTTCATCGAGGTTTTTTTAAATGATGACATTTGGTCCCACTAATTAAAACTCAATTTCAGCAATGCAGCAGCAACAACAACTTCCACCTCATTTAATGACTTCTACATCCTTAAATATTGCTGCCTCAATGCCTGGAACGTCAACCAATATCAATCAATTCCCAAGCCATTTACAAACTCATTTGGATCAAATGTCTTCTATTCCATCGACAACAGCAGCAACAGGAATGAGGTCACAAGAGACTGCTGAAGAGGCTAGAAAACGTTTTGAAATTGAATGTGAATTTGTTCAAGCATTGGCGAATCCAGCTTATTTAAATTGTGAGGTGTTTCGTTGATATTTGGGATGTTCGGTGTAGTGGGATAATTTTCTGTTTACCCCCAAGGTGGACTAGGGTTCGAATCCTATAGCTGCTAAAAATTTTTATTTTGCCTAAAATGGTTTGTTTATGATAAACTAGAAAATTTTTTGATGTTTGGTGTAGTGGGATAATTTTTTAGTTTTTCTCCAATGATGTGCCGGGTTCGAATCCCAATAAAGCTAACAATTTTTGTTTTGATTAAAAATTATTTTTTACCATTTAATATTTATTTAGAAAGCATTTAATAAATTTTAAGCTTTTAGATTTGGCTCAGAAAGGTTATTTCAAAGCTGATTACTTTGTCAACTATCTCAAGTACCTTCTCTATTTTAAATGGCCAGCATATTCGAGGTTTTTTAATTTATTGTTAGTAAAATTGGAAGCCTTTTTGGGAGAAAAATTACTGATTTTTTTAGCCTATAAGGCGGTGACTTTTTTTATGTTTCTCTCCTCTTTCTTTGGGTTCCATTTGACATTTAAACGAAAAAATATTTTTAGTCGGGCAAAATGAAGAGGTTTAAGAAATAAAAGATATAATGTCAAAAGGGAAACATTGAAATAGGAATAGATTCCGAAAAGGAAAACTGTGACTTGTATCTTGTAAGGCGGCAGGTCTCATTGTCAGTTTTCCGAATTTCGTGAAGCTATAGCATCAACCGTAAAGAATTGGGAGGAATATAAAAATCCGCAAAATTTTTGCGGAATCCACAAAAAAAATTTCTAAAAAAATGTGCAAAAAAGTCCGTAAAAAAGTCCGTAAAAAGTTTGCAAAAATTCTCCGTTGGAAGAATCCGTAAAATTTTACTCTTTACAAATTCATCTTTTTCAATTTTTAAGAACTCTCAAATACCCTCAATGCCTATATTTACTCGAATGTTTACAACATGCCGAGTTTCGTGAAGCTATAGCATCGACTGACAATGCTCGTTATATTGAAGATCAACTTTTGCTTCAATGGCATTTTTATATGCGTGTTAGGCAACGCTTACAGGTTTAATCTTAAAAAAGATTTTCTGAATTTTTAAAACTAATTTAGCAACATTCACAGCCTGTTCAACAACAGCAATAAAGAATTGAAAGAATGGAAAAATTCGAAATTTGTTTCCGCGAAATCCGCAAATTTTTTTGCAGAATCCGCAAAAACTTTACGGACGAAATGAAAAGTCCGCAGATTTTTTGCGGATTTTAAAATGATTTTTTGATCCAAAAATACTTTTTTTTCATTTTTTTGCGATAAAAAGGAAGATTAACATTTTATCCCAACTTTTGCTTTATGCGTTTTTTAACGCTTATATTTTTTTATTTTTATTCTACTCTTTAAATTTTAGTTTTAGATCTTTAGAATTTTGTTAAGAAAAATGGCGACATCATCAAATACAACTGCTGCTGTGGCAGATGAAGGAATGGAAGAACGCATAATTAATGAAGAATATAAAATTTGGAAGAAAAATTGCCCGTTTCTTTATGACATGGTTATTTTTAATATATAATTTTTGGGGTTAGATAAGGAGGGGTATGTCTTATTTTCGAGCGTGACTGGTTTTCTATCTTTTGGAGTGCACCAGGGATGGGTCAAGTTACCCAAGCACGGACTTTTTTGACTCGAACCCAAATTTGAATAAAATTTTGGAAAGTAGACCGGACTTTTTTGTCTCGGAATCTGGACTTTTTTGTCCCCACTCCGACTTGTCTCAATCCAGCCAATTCCTAAAATTAACCCTATATCCTTGCGGTGCATAGGATTTTTGAAATATATTTTGCTGGTCTTGGTACTGTCATGTTAACTACCTTATTTTTTTTGTCATCCTTTTTTTCTCTAAAGGATATTTGTTCAAAAGATAGCCGATAACTAGCACTTTTCTCTTTTCTGTCAATTCCGGTGCCTTTTGATATTTTTCATTATTCAAAATTTTTTTTCTTAAGGTTATGACTCACGCTCTTGAATGGCCTAGCCTTACAGTCCAATGGTTACCTGATGTTAAACGTGTGGATGGAGATGATTATACTACACATCGTTTGATTTTGGGAACTCATACATCTGATGAACAGGTTTTTTTTTTATAATTTTTATGAAGTCGGACCTCTTTGTAAGGGTTTTTCGACACATAATTGTAAAGCATATAGCTATTCAATTCCTAAGGCTGAGCAGTAGGCGGCGTGGTGTAATGGCTAACACATCAGTCCGGTCTACTGAAGATGCTGGTTCGCTCCCAGCCGCCGAATAACCTTTTGCTCTAGCTAAAGGAGAGAAATAGCTATAGCCCAGCTGCTTTATTTAATAATTCCTGGTTTTTGTGAATCGTGATAGTTAGATATAAGAACCTCACAATGTGTGTAAAGAATTTTTTTTGGTTGACCTTGGGCTTAGGATGTGAGGGATCTGCTTGTGCCTCACTTTGTGATGCAGCTCTAAAAGATTCTTTTCCCCATCTTTTTTAATGGTTACCTGATGTTAAAAATGCAAAATCCGCAATGGAAAATTTGCTAAAAAAATTTTTTTTTAATTGGGGAGCCCACAGGAGTGTGGGAGCTACCAAAGAGATACCCCCAATTTATGAGTTACAATTTTTGTTTATCTTATAATGAGGCCCGATTTTGCAGAGGCGCTCGAATGCCAAAACGCCGTCGTTTGCCAAAAGGTTTTATGGCTGTTTGCATTAAAACGTAGCCAGGAGGTCTATTTCAGTGCAGCCCCAGAGCCCCCCCCTCCCAACTATGCCCTTGGTTTGCATTTTGACGTTTTGGCATTACGTGGACATGCTCCGACTTTTGAGACATTTTTTCTTTATTTTTAACTAAAAAATTATTTTTAAGCAAAACCATTTGGTAATTGCCAAACTTCTTTTGCCTACGGAAGATGCTCAGTTTGACGCTTCACGTTATGACACTGACAGGGTTTTTTTATAAAAAAAAATTTTTTAATTTCCTTTCACTTTTAGGGTGAATTTGGCGGTTTTGGTTCAATTACAGGCAAAATTGACGTCGAAATAAAAATGAATCATGAAGGAGAAGTCAATCGGGCTCGTTATATGCCTCAAAATCCAGTTCTGATTGGGACTAAATCTCCAAATGCTGAAGTGTTTATTTTTGATTATACAAAGGTTTTTGTTTTTAAATTTTGGGGTTCATTTCTCGGGTAGTTCTCTTCAAAACTTTTTGCTAGTAATCGAGGGTGTATCTAGCTGGGGTGTCTCAGGTTGCCTGAAATCCAATACCTGATCCCAGGAAAATTTTGAAAACTTGACACGAAACTTGGTCCACCTTTTGCTCAATCCGTGATATTTCTGGTATTAGAAATGTGTTTTTGTGAATGGAGCTCTCCAAACTGCAAGAAAAATGGGCAAGTCGTCCTCTGGTGAAGGGCGATAAAAGTGGATTTTTCCCTACGGTTTTTCAATGATTTCTTCATTTTCATTTTTCTCATTTTGTGAAGGCTCAAGTCACACTCTTCTGGATACACTAGGGTGTCCCTTTTACCACTTTTGAGAGCCATTTGCATCCTTTCTGACCTTTTTTGTTTTTTTTGCCCCTTTTTTGAGCAGCTTTTTTTAGTAATTAAGAGGTGGTTTGGGTCATCCTTTTCGTTAGTTTTTGCTTTTCCTTATAAATATTCTTGGGGAGGTTTTGGGTTGTGGGCCTCTTTTTCGTTAGTTTTCGCCTGTCCCTCATCAAAAATTATTCTTTAAATTTTCCAGCATCCTTCAAATCCACCACAATCTGAAGTTAACATTTGTAAACCTCAACTTCGTCTTCGTGGGCATACAAAAGAGGGTTATGGTTTAAGTTGGAATACCAACTTACCTGGACATTTATTAAGTGCTTCGGATGATACAACAGTTTGTTTATGGGATATTCAAGCAACTACTGCTAACGCTAACTTTTTGGATGCAAAATCGATTTTTACTGCGCACAATGCTGTTGTTGAGGATGTTGCTTGGTTAGGGATTTTTTAATTTTTTGTATTATTTTTTTTGGAAAATTCGCAAATTTATTTTGCGTACAATCCATAAGTTTATTTTGCAGATAATCCATAAGATTTTTGTCCGCAAATTTTGAATTGCAGAAAATCTGCAATTTTTTGTCCGCAAAATTATATTGCTGAAAATCCACAATATTACTGTCCGCAAAATCATTTTTGCAGACAATCCGCAAATTGTTTGTCCGCATATTTTGATTTGCAGAAAATCCGCAATTTTTTGTCCGCAAAATTATATTGCTGAAAATCCACAATATTACTGTCCGCAAAATTATTTTTGCGGAAATCCGCAAATTTTTTGTCCGCAAACTTTTCATTTTATTTTTTAAGGCACGTTCTTCACGACGCTATTTTTGGTTCAGTAGGAGATGATCATAAATTAATGATTTGGGATACTCGTCAGAATAGCACGACAAGACCTCAACATACTGTTGAAGCACATACTGCTGAGGTTTTTTCCTTAATTAAAATTTTTTTAATTTTTATAGGTCAATTGTTTGTCGTTTAATCCATATTCTGAATTTATTTTGGCAACTGGTTCGGCTGATAAGGTTCTTTTTTATTTAAACAAATTTACAAAATCGGGGATAGTGTTCCACTCAAAGGGGTCTACAGCAGAGACTTGCTGTCCAGCGAATCCTCGGTTTACCTGGGAGTTCGGGAGGCTACGGCAAAGCTGGCATAGTCCAGCTAGTCCTCAGTCTATTGCATAGTTTGCAAAATAGTCATAGCAATTCGGTTTGGTGCCTTCAACTTTTGCGGTAGACTAACAATAAATAGTTTATTTGTGGAAGACTATGATATTATAAATAGGTGTGGACATGGAAATCCAGTTTTTCTAGAAATTTGAGTTATATTTTGAATTTTTGTTAACCCGTGACAGCCCCCAGGGCGATAAAAAAATTTCAAAAGCCCCTTTAATTGAAAAAAATTTTTTTCCAAATATTTTTTAGACTGTCGCTTTGTGGGATTTGCGCAATTTAAAATTGAAACTTCATTCATTTGAATCGCACAAAGACGAAATTTTCCAAGTTCAATGGTCTCCTCATAACGAAACAATTTTGGCTAGTTCAGGAACTGATAGACGTTTACATATTTGGGATTTGAGTAAAATTGGGGAAGAACAAACGCCTGAGGATGCTGAGGATGGACCGCCAGGTTTTTTTTTTGAAATTTTGAAAATTTTCGAAAAATTTTTTGAAATTTTTCTTGAAATTTTTCTGTTGAAATTCCGTCATAAGTCTCGGAAACCGATTCAGACAGACGAAATTTCATTTGAAATAGCTCGTCGTGCTGGTGAGTCGATTGACACCAAAATCATGCGAAGCGAGGGATTTTGAAACTTAAACCATTTCGAACCCTATATCTCAGTCCATAGGTGAGACTGGGACCTAATAATGTTGTTCTTCGACTCACAATAAGCTCAAAAGGAGTTTTCGAATGACTTATTGTTTGAATTTCTTTCAAGGACTTATAACGGAATTTTTTGAAATTTTTTTGGAAAAATTTGAATTTTTGAAAATTTTTCTAAAGTTTATTTTAAAAATTTTTTGAATTTTTTTTAATTTTCAGAGCTTTTGTTCATTCATGGAGGACATACAGCCAAAATATCTGACTTTTCTTGGAATCCGAATGAGCCTTGGGTTATTTGTTCAGTTTCTGAAGACAATATTATGCAGGTTATCTTGATGATATTTTTAGTTTTTAAAAATTTTTTTTGGTTCAACCCTCGTTTTAATATACCCTCTATATAAGATACACCTTTATTTAAGCGACATTTTTTAGATTTGTTTTGACATTGGGCAAGGCATAGCAGGTCATTTTCCAGAAAATATTTTTCGATGGGGGCTGAAATTCTTCATCCATTATAGCATGAATCTGTCTTTGTAATACCATCTATTTAATGAACCCCTCATTACAAGACACATTTTGATACCTCTAAGGAGGTCTGTTACATTAGGTTGCGCCGTTCGGGCGCTGAGGTCGTTTTGGCTCCGCAGTGAAAATTAAAAATAAAGTTTAAACACGGACCGAATCCGTATTTACCGGATTTGTTGGTCTGCAATCCGGGTATTTTGATAAAACCCGGATTTTGATCCGGAACATCCGGGCCAGTTTAAAATAAAAATCCGGAAACCGGATCCGACATTTTTAATCTAAGTTATTGAAAAAAAAATTTTTTTTTCAAAAGATTTGGCAAATGGCTGATAATATTTACAATGAAGAAGAAGCAGATGCTGTTATGGAACAAGCTGCTGCTATGGCTGGAACTACAACTTAAATAAAATTAAATTGAAAAATTTGGAAAAATTAATTTCTTTGTCTTCTCTATTTAACTATTTATTTGGATATTTTTTTTGATTTTAATTTTTTTGTTCTCAATTTTGAATTTTAAAATTTTTGAAAATTTGTGTAAAAAAAGTTGTTTTTGAAGAAAAAATTTTTTCCCTTTATGTAAAAAGGATTTAATTAATTCCTTTTAATATTTTATTTTTATATTTACATATTTTAATTAAAAAATTTTCTTTTTGTTTTGTAGTTGTTTGAAAAGACTTCAAAAGCGATAATCTCCAATGACATTTTGAAAAAAAAACTACAATGTATAGAACAACAAATATTTTAAATTCAGCAAAACAATATGTCAATTAATCATGACTTGATTGTGTACAAGGACAGTGGCATTTGTGGGTTTATATTGTTTTAATTGTCTGACTTTGTTTTTTTTAATTTTCATAATTTAAATTTCTATTATTTTAATTTAAAACGCTCCCAATTTTATATTTTTTTTTGAAATTTTTCATTGACTTCTAAATTTTTAAAAAATAATAGGTGATTTTTTTTGTTTAAAGTAGGGTAAAAATTCGAATCTTGGGGTCGGGCGTGTTTGTGATCGTAGTTAGTAGTGTAGAGCCTTCGGGGTTCTGTCGTGGGTTTTACCAAAAAAATAGTCGGGGGTCGGGTTGCTACCCTTGTTTAAAGCCTTATAATTGTTAGACTTTAAATTTTTGTGTCTTTGGAATTATTGTGTATATTACCAAAGTTATTAATTATCTGTTTTGAGTTGTGAGTCCGTAATCAGGGCGATCTACCCAACATCAAAAATTGCCTATTTGAGTGCCGACTCAAAAAATGTAGGAAATTCTCAAGTTGGGAATCGGGTCGGATTGATCTGTGTTTGTTTTTGTAGTGTGTGTTAATCAATCTTCAACTAGGGATAAACTGTCCTACATTTTTAAAATGCGGCCTGACCCATTTCGACATCAAATCCTTGTTTATATTTTATTTCTCTATGCAACAAATCCTTGAGCGTGTGTTTGTTCTGGGTCTGTCAAGAGCTTCATCGAAAGCTTGGGCATCCCCAGGGTATAACCCCAAAGTGTGAAACTAATTTCATCATTTTATTAATTTTAAAATATCCAGACTTGCACTTTTATCTTTCATAATTTTATTTTTGTTTTCATGTGAATGTTTACTCTATTTTTTAATTATTTCCTGTTTAATTAACTTAAAAGGGGGCAAATATTTTTAAATTTTAATATTAATTTTTTTAATTTTAAAAATTAAAAACAGCTAATAGAGGGGGGAAAATAAAGGGAAAGTCTCAAAATTATTCGGCACTAAAGGAAGAATGAAATTGGCATTGTTTTTACTGGCATTTTTGTGTTGTTTTTCGGAGGGTGATGGTGGCGGAAGTCAACCATCGCCTCTGTCAACACACGCAATTCGTCTAACTTCAATACGTACGTTTTTAGGAGACCTAGTACAATTGGAACTCATTATAGGATACCCCCAATATTAGAGACACCTCTATTTAAGAGACTTTTTTAATTTGGTTGGCCACTGGTGTGAGGGAGTTGCATAAGCGATACTTTCTTCTTAAAGTATCCTCTAAGATACTTAACCCAGTATTAGAGACAGCTCAGTTCAACAGAAACTGATTTTAAAATTTGGTTGGCTTAGGCAAGAGGTCCTGAAAGATACACTATTTAAGATGCTTTTATTATAAGGTACAATTTTTCAACCCCATGTTTGTAGGGTTCCTTTACCGGCGAGTGGACTTAATTTATTTGACTGTTTAATAAAGATGGGTTACTTGATAAATTTTGTAAAATCAAAGTTTTCTTAGGAGCTCCAAGACTTCAATTTTTAAAACATCGAAAACTCAAACCACCAAATTCTAATCAAAGTAATCATCGACTGACAATGACTGATGAATCTAAAAGTCAACTAAGAGAAACTGAAGAGAGTTTGTCAAAAATTTGGAAGCAAACAGAATATCCTTCAAAGTCAGCAAACCCGTTGACTTTGAAGAAAAAACCACTTGAAAAAGCTTTGAACAAGATTAAAGATAAGAAGAAGAACGAAGAGAATATAAAAATCTTTGAGGAGGAAGATTTTTTCAAATTTTTAAAAGCAAAAATTAAACAAAAAAGAGAGGAACGTCCAAAATTTAAGAGGGCTCAAGAAGCTCGTTTTTCTTCTGGAAAAATTTGGGTTTCTCCGCCATTAGTGGATTGGGCAGGGCAATTAAATGAAGAAATTGTTGAAAATCTGTTTAAAAATCTTCCAAAAATGTTGAAACATGTAGAAGTGGCTGAAGAGGCTGTGAATATGGTTTTGGTATTAGATGAGATTAATCGTGTCATGGAATACGAGACGGCAATAAATGAAATTGAATGGGCTTTGGAGGATGAAGAAGAGAAGAAAATGAAGGAAGAGGAAGGGAAGATGGGGAATGAAGTAGAGAAGGAGGAAAAGGGTGAAGAGAAGGGAGAACTGAAGAAAATGAAGGAAGAGGAGAAGAAGATGAGGAATGAAGTCATGAAGGATGAACTAGAGGTGGAAGAGATGAAAATGAAGGAAGAGGAAGGGAAGGTGAGAAATGAAGTCATGAAGAAAGGAAGAGATGAGGAAGAGAAGGAAGGGAAGATGAAAGAAGAGAATGGGAAGATGAAGAATAAAGTCATGAAGGAAGGAATGGATGAAGAAGAGGAATATGAAAAGATGAGCAAGGAGAAGGGGAAGATGCGGAATGGACTTGTGAAGGACGAACAGGATGAAGAAGAAAAGAAGGAGAAGATAAAAGTTGAAAAAGTTGTGACTTACAAACAAGAAAAATATAAAGATGGAAAGGGTCGTTTGTACCACCATTGGCTAAAATTAACTCTTTATGGAATTCTCAACATTTCAGCGCCGGGGGATAATGTGGATGAACGGTTGAAGGAAGGATTGGAACGTTTAAATCAAGCAAATGATTTTGTTAATTTATTACATGAAGAAAACAAGTCTAGAATTGAGTTTGAAGTTGGGGTTGAAAATAGCAAAAATTGCAAGGATTAGAAATTCTTTTTAGTGGAAAGCTTGGTAGTGGAAAGCTTTGTTAGTGGACCTCATAGATACACCCGATACCAGATATTTAAGAGACGTTCTTTAAAATTTGTTTGGCTGGGGGTGGAAGTAGTTGACTACGTGATACCCTCTATAAGAAACAGCTCAATACTATCATACCTCGATATAAGTTACCCTCGATACCAGATACCACCTCTGTATAAGCGACGATTTTAAAAAATTTGGTTGGCCGTTGAGGGTTGTGATCTGCCATTTAAGCACTCTATTTATGATAGACCTTCTTATAAGCTATGATCCTTCAGTCTTCTAGAGGGTATCTTATAGTTAGGTTTGGACTTTAATATTTTTTAAATTCACTCTTTCAGTGTTAAACCGCGCAGCTAAAGTACTCAACAAATTTAACAATTTTCGAACCTCTTATTTCCAGCCAGGTTCCGTATTAGATAAATACAAAGTAATTGATGACAAAAAATTGAAAAATAAAAAGGAGGTATACATTGATAGACAGCCTTCTATTAAAATTAAGGAAGATAATTGGTTAGAAGAAGCATCAAAAAAGTTGAGAAAAGAAAGGGAAAAGGAGTTAAAGCATGTTATGAAATCTGTGATTTTTAGTGGTAATGCGCTTGTGATTAATAAAACAGTGGATTGGTCGAAAGAATACAATGCTAATTTTGTTGTTGAAATGCTCTCTAGGTACATAATTATAAATAACTAATTCCTCTATGATTAGTTAAGGGACCCAATTCTGAGAGAGGGTTAATGTTGAGATAAACGCTCTCTGAAGGGTGGGGGGCTGAGCGTTCTTTTGATAAAGACTCTTGATTCTAACACTTCTAGGCTTTGCATCTCTAAGATGGACAGAGATAGTTTTAGTGATTACGACTCATAAACTTCTCCTGGGAAGAAGCTTATGATATTCTCTCCTGCTTCTTTGTTTTTCAATCAAAAACCTTGTCCACTTCTAACTGTTCACTTCGAAGGATCTCACCAGCTGACCGAATCTTATCACTCTTAAGGAAACTCTCCTTATATGAGGGAGGTCACTCTTCCCGTTCTAATTTAAATTTTCATATTATCATCAACAAAAAATTATGTTTTTAAGACAAAGTTTACCGTTACCACAAGAAACTTTGGAAAAATTGGCAGTAGAATTAGTTCTTGTACTTGACGAAGCACAAAGAGTTTCTGACTACGACACCGAGATTACAAAAATAGAAAATGCCATTGAAGAGATTAAACAGGGTGGAAAAACCATTTTCGAAGCAAAAAATCAACGCTTAAATCGCAATTTATTAAAATTTGTTTTGTGGGGAATTTTAAATATTGAAGGGCCAAATGATAATTTAAAGAAGAAAATAGCACTAGCTTTTGAGAGATTGCACTCTGCTGATGAATTTATTAAGCTTTACGGGGTAGAAGATTCTGGGAGGATACAAGTGGAGAAATGTGTGAAGGATGCTGAAGATGGTGAGAGAATAATAAGGGAACTATACAGTCGAACCTCGATATAAGATACTCTTAAGATAGGTACAACTCTATTTAAGAGACGTTTTTCAACAATTGTTACTGGGGGGGGGGGGGGGAGGAGTTTCCTAAGCGATACCCCTTATTTAAGACACACCTCATTACAAGTATACCTCAATTTAAGATACTCTTAAGATAGGTACACCTCTATTTAAGAGACGTTTTTTTAACAATTCCAGTGGGTGGGAGGAGTTACCTAAGCGATACCCTTATTTAAGACACACCTCATTACAAGTATACCTCAATTTAAGATACTCCCAATAGTAGATAACCTCTTTTCAAGAGACGTTTTTGTAAATATGGTTGGCTAATTGTGGGGGAAGCTTCCTAGACGATGCCCCCTTATTAAAGACACGCCTCATTATGAATTAGGATTTTTGTAGTATTAAAGAGGTATCTTTTAGTGCGGTTCGACTAGTACAGAAATATAATCATTTTAAATCATTTTCTAGTATTAAACCGCGCTATTGTTTTCATAAAACTTTTTGATAATTTTCGTGGAGGAGCAACAGCGGATGAAAAGAAAACTGAGCAGATAACCAGTCAAATAAATGTTAAGAAAGGATTTGATGAGGGTGAAGGTTGAGTGCCAGGCCTAGCGAACATTTTTTTCTCGCTTGCCGGCCAAAATACTTTTTTTTAAATTTTTTTTTGTAGTCTTTTAGTATTGTAATTTTAGCTTTTTTTACTCATGATTTTTAAAAGGCGCAAAAGAATTAATTTAAAAACAATTGAAATTTTTAAAAAATTGAGAGAGTGCGCACAAAAGAATAAAAATTTGAATGATTTTTTGTTTGTTTTTTTTAATTTGAATTGTAAGGAATGGGAGAGGGTTGGAGGGGTGAGGAGGAAGGAAAGGTATGGGTTTCTATGAGTATCTTTTAAAGGGCTTTGTTTTTTATTAAATTTGTCTGGCAATTGAAGGGGGGGGGGGAATTGTTCGGCATTGTAAACGAGGGGATGTTGGATGGAGTTGTTCATGTTTCTTTTATTAGGCTGTCGGAGAATTATGTGAAGGTGTGAGGTTTTGGAGTGTTGTAGTATGTTGGTGAAATCCACAAATATCCGAACCGAACCTTTCGTATTTTCTGTACTTTTTCCGGAATCCAGATATGTCAAAAATGTGAGAGAATCTTACGGATATATTTTTCAATTCTATTCGAAAAATTATTTGTTACCGTAGTTACATAAAAAGCGTCTTGCGTTTTGCGGCAAAAAATAGCATTGAGGATGAAGTGACGTGATTTTGTCTCTCCTCCTTTTGAATGCTATTTTTTGTCGCAAAATGCAAGACGCTTTTTATTTAACCACGGCATTAGATTTATTTATCTATTGCAAATTATTTCTTTAGCCAGTTCTGCAAACATTTTTGTTTTTATTGAAGATGTCTGGAATGAAAAAAGAAAGGGTAAGGTTATGTACGTTTGTTTGGAGAATGAATCCTGGGATCTACCTTTTCATTATCATCATGTGCCCTTTTCCACCCATTTTCTCTTGTATATAAATCCTAACTCATTTCACATTGACTTCCTTATTGAGAGACCTCTTTGTGGGAGACCTTTTCCCTAACCCCTTACCCCATTGACCAGTTGCTTGTGTATATTTAGAAGATAAATCAAAATTATTTAGGTATGTTCTCAGTATATCTGAGAGTTTGATTTATTCATAGGGCTTATAATTATCCTCAGTATATTTATTTAGGGTATGTCCTCAGTATATCTAAGTGAGAAATCTAATACGCTTAAGTTTTCTGATTAAAGCTCGGATATAACAAAGACTAGGATACCGATAAAAGGCTTACTAAACACGTCACCCTAGCAAAGAGAAACTTTGTTTTAATTTTTATTTATCATTCTTAAAAATCTCTACATATTTACATTTACTTGAAAAACTAAATAATGTATTTTGATTTTAAATTTGAAAATTTTCTAAATATCAAATTTCGGGATTTAATATCCTTTTAGTATTTTATCTTTTATTTTTTTTTGCGTTTAAATATTCATCTTTCTTTCCTTCTTCTTCTTTTATTTTTCTTTGTTCATTTTTCTTCTTTTTTAAAGTCACCTCTCCATTGAAAACCTTTCAAAATACTTTTATTATCCTCTTTTTTCAATCCCCCCTTCAATTCATCCTTCATTTTTTTCCCAATTTCTTTTTGCGAATCTTTCGTATCTTCTTCCTTTTCCACATTCGGTTCGTTATTCTTTTCTTCCCTCTCTTCCTTAGCTTTTTTATGCTTCTCTTCCTTTTCTCCCTTCAACTCTTCATTCTTTCCCTTCGGCACTCCCTTTTCTTCATCATCAAATTTTTCTTTCTCATCTTCACCCTTTTGTTGATTAACACTTTCTTCTTCCTTTACCTCAATCTTCTCTTTATTCCCTTGCTTAACTTCCCCATTTTTTGCATCTTCATCTTTAAAATCCTCATCCTTTTTTTCTTCATCATTAAACACCAACATGTTGCTGTTTACATGTATGAGCATGTATGTTGCTTGTTCGATTACTGAGAGATAAATTTAAAAACAATAGGTGGACTTACTTTATGATAACCTCAATATAGGATCAATTCGATTTATAATGTGTTTTTAAAAATTTGGATGATTAGGGGTTGGGGGGAGCTGCTCAAGCGATGCTCTATTTCAGAATCCCCTCTATAAGGTACGGTTTCTTATAACCGACGTTTAATATAATAATTAATAATTTATTAATAATTTAATAATTTATTAATTAATAATTTATTAATCATTATAAGTTAAAATTTTTTAGCCCGAAATGATTATCTTATAGTGGTGGCTGGCTCAAACTTGGGTTGGTTGGGGTTGGGCGATACCCTTCTATTTAAGGTACCCCTCATTATAATAGTGATGCTCGGGTATCCCTACTCCCGAATCGGGAAATTTTCCCGAGTTTTTGGCTTCCCGAACCCAATTCCATTTTCCCATGTTTTTTCTTCTCCCGAGCATTTATAAGGCCCTATCCAGTCCCAAGAGGGTATCCTATAGTAGTTAGTATCTGATTTTTGTATTTTTTTCTCTTACATTGTTTAGCTCTAATTACACGTTCCTTAATTTTTTCAGCCTCATTTCTCATTGTACTTAAATATAATCCATTAATTAATTTATCCATTTTACTCAAATTTTGTTTTTCATTTTCCAAATTTTCTATTAAATCAATTCCTTTCCCCTCTTCAATATCCAAAAGTCCCATTAACTCAAATTTAATTTCCCCCAATTTTCGTTGATATTTCCACTCTTCATTTTCTCGTTTCTCCCTTAATTGTTCTTCTGCAATACACAAAAATGGCCAAAATTCAATTATTCGATCACACTCATCCAATAAAAGTTTCAAATCTACTGCCTCTCTTCGTTGGTTTATCTTTGGAGGAAAAAGGATTTTTTAAAAAATATATTAAAAATTTTTTGTTAGGGGGAAGGGGTGATCGAAAAAAAATTGCCAGGCCTGGATATAGGATTATGGATAACATCGTATCGAACAATGCGTCTCAGTGGACAATCGGTTAGTGAAACATATCGGAGTTGGAGGGATTAAAGGGATATTGAAGGATTTGTGAGGATTAAGAGGATTTTCCGGTAATATCTAGGGATCAAGGTGGATATCAGTTGATTTTGATGGATTGGTGTTAACAGGCATATTAGACCTTCTAACTATCACTTAATCTTCCCAGTTCCCTCGATATATCCTCAAAATACTCTTACTCCCTTATAATCTCCACAAATCTCTCTTAAATCCTCCAAACTACCCTGTATGTCTCTTAATCCTCCGATATAATTCAATGACCAGATATCGACTGGTGCATTGTCCACTGACACATTGTCCGGATTTCTGATAACACAACCCATCCTTCTACTTACCCCCATCTGTTTAAAAGGTGTTTTCCTGTCTCCATCATCAACATTTGGATATCTATTCTTTATTAATTTTGCAACTAATATTAAATTTGATTCTTTTTTATTTTTTTTCATCAATTTCATAATAATAATTGTAAAAAGCTTCCCTGTCCTCCCACTTCTTGTCATCAAATAAATTTATTTTGGGGGCTCTTTTCTTTTCCTTTTCCCCCTTTGTTCGACGTTCCTCAATTCTTGCTAATTTATTTTCAAAATCTGTTCGATTAGGAAACAGATCATTTGGGATATATTCATATTTTTGATAAGGATCCCATTCATCCTTAAACATTTATGTTTAAAAATTATGTAAAATATTTAATATTGACTATTAGAATTTCACTGTAGGATACTCCGTTGGGGGTGAAAAAATCTTATTTTATAATGAGGGTTTCTTAAATAGAGGGTATCGCTTAGGCCACCCTTTGGCCATCTTATCTTGATGAATACAGCCCAATTTTTTAAGCCCCTCGGTGCTTAAGAAATTTTATTTTATAATGAGGGTTCCTTAAAAAGAGAGTAGCGCTTAGGCCACCCTTTGACACCGTATCTTGATGAATGCAGTCCAGTCTCGTTAAGATACCCCTTCGTTGCTTAAAAGATCTTACTTTATAATGAGGGTTTCTTAAATAGATAGGGTTTCTTGAGGGTTTCTTTGATGGTTTCATTAAATAGGCCGCCCTTAAACACCGTATCTTGGTGAATACAGCCCAGAAGTAGCCCAATTTTTGAAGCCCCTCGATGCTTAAAAATTTTTATTTTATAATGAGGGTTTCTTAAATAGAGGGTATCGCTTAGAGGGGCTGCTCCTATACCCCTTTTTACTTATAATGTGTTTCCACTGTAGTTTGATTATTCGCTTTTTCTCTTACCGAATCATATTCTTCAACTCTTGGATTATTTTTCTCGCTAGCTTTAACAGTAAATTTTTTGTTATTTTTCTTTTCTAAATTTCCATAATGCTTTTTATTAAAATTTTTAATTTCGATTGGACAATTTAATGAGGGGGAAAATGATTTTGATTTAATTTTTGTTGAAGAGAGGTTAAGGAGTAGGGGATGGGAGGGGTGGAAGTTAGAAGCG